CACAGAGCTGTCTAACTGCAGTTGTTGGTCTGGACCACTGAGGCTTCTGACTGCCAGTCATCACGACTTTACATCCAATCAGTGGCACTTCGGCAGCTTGTTCATAACAACCACCTGACGTGGGGCCACGCTAAAGGCTAAAGCTCCAGATAAGCTGAAAAGGCAGCGATGCAGAAGATATTCTTAGACAGTGAAGGTGACTTGAATTGGTTTTTTTTTTTCACTTCCTGACACAGGAGGTTCTTTCCAAAACATTTTTCACATTCATTTTTAAAAGCTGAAGCCTCATCTCCCCCTGCCCTACAGGTGATTCAGCAGAGAGTTTAAAATGACTCAGCACCTCAAAGTAAAGTTTGTGAAACAAAACAATTTCGAGAAGAAATACATTTTGTCTAAATGAGAAGCAAAACAAAGCAGCTGCCCGGTGACAGCCTGGAGCTTTAAACCTTCTCGTCTGGTGGAAGTATTTCCCTAGTCGCCCCTCGTCTGTCTCTGAGCGTCTAATTGAGGCTGCTGGTCGCTGATTGCTCACCAGAAGTTCAGCTCAGCTGCAGGTCAAAGTTCATGTGTATCAGATCTCAAAAAAAGTCTTCTGTTTCGCTCTGTCCTTTCCTTTAACTACGGCTCTGTGTTCCTGCAGTCTCTCTCTTCCACATGTGCACAGATATATAAAGTAGGGTTTAAGAATTCATTACTTCTTCATACGTCTGGAAAATCAATGTAGAACATATTGGAAAAGAGAAAAATGAGAGCAGTTGCCTTCATCTTACATGTCAGTGTATTTTACTGCAGGTCTGTTTTGCTGCAGGTTTACTTGAACTCCCAAAAGTTCTGTTTTCAAACTCACATTAAATATGCAGGAAAAGGGAGCAACGTGTGGACTGACTAATGTAACACATTGTTTGATATATAAAACCTAATTTTTCAAGGTGAAAACATTGAATTTAATAAGTTTTACTCTTTAAAGGTATGGTGCAGATACATTTGTCATCTACAAAGGAATGTAATTTCACATTATTAAAAGTTGCTGAGCCTGATATTGAATCGATTCATTACATTACTTTAAAGTTTTTAAAGATCTTGCGATGGTAGGAACAGCACTTTTGTACAGTATGCAGTACAGGGCTATACCAATGAGCCTGACCAGACATTTGACCTGCTAAGATTCTTGTAATCATGGACCTCCAGTGATTTGGCTCTATGCATGTCAAACATGTCTTAGTAAGGACTCTGTCTGTCATGTCTCCACAGTGGTAGAAAGACAAGTCAGGACAGTTACTCTTAGTCTCTTAGATGTCTTTTTTTCGCCTTAGACAAAGTGCTTCTCACATGGTCAAACAGCAAACCAACGTGATAATCGTCCCTACTACATGCAGCAACTATCCAGGTGTGTGGAGCTGGGACAGTGTGCAGGGTGTGAGCTCTCTTATTCTTCACACAGTTTCTTTACACACAACCATTATTTCAGCAGCATTTCATTGACTGTATTTCAACATGTCTGTAAGGGGCTTCACGGAGACATGTTTTATCAGTTTTATGCCACTAGGCAGCATCTAGAAAAACACATTCAGCCCAGTTTAAACTTAGACATTGTTTGACTTGCAAATCACCAAATCAAGGCTCAGTAAAAAGGTTAAATGAAGTAGGTCTGTGGCTGTAAGAGTGGAGGGACAAGTCTGTTATGGTGCAACTGAGCATCAGTAGATCAATAGAGGAGTGAGGCTGTTCTGTGCAGCTCCCAGGTAACAGTAATGTTGCTGAATAAGAGCTTGCTGCCTAATAAATCTTTTGTCCCACCGGACAGCTGGGTGCTGATCTTAATTGTTCCTTAAGAATTAGGCAGAATAGGAAGCAGATGCCAGCAACTTTACATTCTGAAGTCATGATCGGTAAGTGTGTGTTTTGAAAGCTCAGCTGCTTCCGCATCCGATTCATCTTAAAAACCAAAATGAGGCGATGCTCTGGCATGAAGGAGTATGTTTGTATGCTGCTTGTCACACTCGTGGAAGTGTTAAAAGGTGGTTGCTGCTACAATAACATGAATATTAATGTCTTGTTTTGGGGAAAGGTCAGCTCGTGTAGCTGACAAATTCAAGATGAAAGAAGATTACTGTGCTGTTACTCAGGCCCCCCCATTTATTTTTTTTGGTAATGTTTCTGTTGAGAAGCTGTCAGCATTCCCATTTGATCTGATTAGTGTGTTGGCACCACTGATCAAAGAACAAGCCTCATTTCCACACTATCACGTCGCCTTTGAACCTCAGATGCTGAGAGTAAAATAATTTGGCAGAGAGGGACGAGGCGCACCTCCTGACTCCAGCAGCAAATCAGACAGACGCACATTAGCATGTTACAGGTAATGTGGACAGAACATAAAAGATAGAAATAAATGGAGCCCAAACTTGTGAACTTCTGTAGACTTGCAGGACAAAGACACAGGAATAGAAAATTGAAATTATCCTTGTGTAATGGAGCTTTTCCCACTTTGTAGAGAAGGTGATGGCACATTTCTCTGCACTGACCCCTTCCCTCCTCTTCCCACAACCTCCCTGTCAAACCTTCAAGTGCAAGAGACCGCAAACCTCAGGAGGATTACTGTAATGCATTACCAATGTCAAACAAGTCTGAGATTAAACAAGTCATTTTCAGAGAGCTCTTAAACCACACAACTCACTCCGAGGACTTTGCTTCATAACTCACTCCGGCTACATTGCTCCACCTTGAGACGTTTTGCTGAAGCTATGCCAAGGTTATATGTATAAAGGAGTGAAAATGCAACCTTGCAGTTTTATGCCACAAAATATATCATGTTCCTCCATGGTGGATTGAGAATAAGCACTTTACATTTTACCCTTTTTTTTAAATTAAAGCAACCCTGGCCTAGAAGGAAAAATTTCCTTTTTGCATTTTTCTTCACATCGGACAAAGAGTTCTGTTCGCTGCCAGTCACTGTGAATGACATCTGTGTCAGTTGTGGAAACTCTAAATTGAGTGTCGAATGGAAAGGATGTTGATTTTACCGCCATTCAGCATTCCCAACAGTGATGAAATGACTCAATTTAAAGACCTTATTATGTAGAAGATAAAGATCAGCAACATTTACTGGAATCAAAATTTAATTTATGCGTTTAATTCTGGGCTATTTGGAGAAAAGAAAGGTCACTCCTAATTACTGTTGATTAATATGTTTTAATTAGTGGATTTATATGGGAATATTGAGTATGTACATCATTTATATTACCCTCCCTACAAGGAAACACTAAGTATGGCAAAACATGGGAGTGGGGAGTGACGATAACAATTTCCTCCCCAGAGGAATGGAAGATTTGGAGTCTTCAGGTGGATGCTGGGTTGGAGGTGGGGCTTTTGAAATGTTATACAGCTGTAGTGAAAGTAGCAGCTCAGCTTTGAAGTGAGAGGTGTTGCAGCAAGAGTACTGGAGTGTGAGTACACAGCGCCAATTAAAAGGGCACATTGGATATACGGTACGTTGCAGAGACAAGAGTAGGCAATGCAAGTGTAGCAGTGGGCACCAGCTTGATTGCGTCCTAACTACTGTTTTCAGTTCAGAAAAAAAAATCATAGAATAGTACATGATGTTTAAATGGTATCTTCAAGTCTGGGTCCAGACCTCTGAATTGCTGCCCACATCTCAGATTCTCTCAGTGATTCAAGTAAGTGTGGTGCTTATTAACGTGTGTCCATGGTTGTACAAAACAGTCTGGATATTCTCACATTCTTGTTCTTCTACCTAAAAAAAAAAAATTTTTTTGCAGGTTGTTGGAAGTCAACTGACACAAATGACAACTCTTAAACTGTCATATTTATTTCAGTTTCTGTGTCGACTGATAATCTTAAGCAGCTGCTCTAACTGGTCAGTAATGACTAGGGATGGGTACGAGTATTTGTTGACGTCATCATTCGAGTAGCGTTTTTCTACTCGCGCACCTGTGCATGTGTTTTTTTGGCTACATGAGTTCAACTCAGGTAGCGTTACGTGCACCATGGCAGCCGTGACTCGGGAAAGTGATGTTGGGAAATACATTGGTAGAAAAAAAGACGACAATAATGTGCAGTTCAAGATATGTGGCGTTAAACTTGCATATCATGTTCTCTGACAGCCAAACAATATGCTTCGTCTGGAAGGTCCGTGTCCGACTGGACTATATATGGAATATATATATATATCTATATATATGTATATTATCTTTTATAAAATTTGTGAATAACTGAGTACTTGTTCATAAGGTAATGAGAGTACTCAAATATTGAAATTACTGAAAATGCCCTAGTAATGACTGATGTGTTAGTCAGTCAGTCTTTGTTCAGTCAGGGTGGCTGTTGCAGCTCATGCACACAAACACAGCTTTTCTTCTCCTTTTATTACTCATCAACCACAAAAGTGGCAACAGGTATCATTTCCTGTGAAAACATCAGACCTCAGAAGTTGTTACTCTTTTGGCGGGAAACACAGCTTCTTCTAAAGAAATCAAACATGTTCCTCACATTACATCTGTCTGTCTTTGTATCCTCTCTGATGTTCACTTTGCTGATTTTAAATAGAGTTTTGCTGCTCAGGTTGCTGATCTCATCAAGCAGGTGACCTTGGATATGGAGATATAAATAATTCTCACTGGCACCTGAATGTTTCAATTATAGCAACATTCACAAAACCATAGATAACAAACATCTGAACCTGATTGTTCAGATCATGTATATGTATCATATCAGATTTCAGACTCGAGACAACTTGATGAGCAACAGAAACTTTCCATTGGATGCAGTGCTCACTCGTTAAAAGTATTACTGCCTTTAACTGTACCAATATCTGAACTTTTAGCAATTAGTGGGAATGGATTAGTTTTTCACTGATGCAGAAGAAAGAAAGATCTCGATCACTTCATCACTCTTATCTGTAAAAGACACGGTTTGTAGTTTCACTCTGCAGATTCTGAACCGATGTGTTCATGTTGTTCTCTCTTTTTGTGCCGTTTCCATAGCGACAGCATGCCAAAGCGGATGGCTCTGATCTGCTTCCTGTCTCTGGTCATGCTGATGAGCATCCTGGGAAACCTGCTGGTCATGGTGGCCGTCTGCAAGGACAGGCAGCTCAGGTGGGTCAGAGCTCCTTTTACCTTCAAATTCTGTCTCATATACATACACTTAATATACACACTTCATCTGACTTGATTAAATGTTACTTAATAAGAGAAGGAATTAGTCTGTGTGTGTCTTTTTGTGTTTTTAAGTGAAACAAAGATAGAAAGGATGTTTGCAGGACAGAAGCAGAGAGAGAGTAAGAGAAGTAGAGTCAGAGAGTCACAGTTAAGTAACACTGTTTTTAACACTGCATTCCCACAGTGCCGATCGCACAACCACAGCAGAATATTCAGCAGCAATGGAATGATCAATTCACAATTCTTATAATATACTGTAGAAAACATTATTTCACTGCAAACTGTGACACTAGATGAGCAACGCCAACAGTGCATGTGACATGGGCAGAGCTAGCAGGTCATCCTGAGGACTGCTGGTCATGTGGGAGCCGTTGTCACCGTAGTGATTCATTCTTCTTCTCCTCCTGTCCTCTCCACCTTTCCTTTCACTCTCTCTCTCACTGTCTCTCTGATAGTCGGTGTCTTTCTCTCTTTGTCTCTTTCTATCTGAGGACACCTGAGAGCTCAGGGTGACCTTTGTCCCCAGGATGTTGACATGAGGTGTGAGTGAGTGTTGGGTGGAGGATGAGGAAACACACACACACACACACACAAACAAAAATTAATTTATGAAGGTGTGTGTTTATATGTGGGGAATAAGTGAGATTTCATTTATGTGTATAATTGTGTGTGTGTGTGTGTGTGTAGTCTGTGTGTTTAAGAAGACTGATGAGTGACAAAGTCGAGGCTGCGATGTCTCACCTCCCTGAGGAGAAAACAATGACACACCATCTTTGTCTCTCCCTGCCTCATTGTCTCACTGTCAGCTGTGAAATACACACACACACAAACACACACACACAGAATCCTCGTATGCATAAATTCACAAATGCAAATACGAAGATGCACACAAACTGTCAGACAGACACACACCTGCTCAGTGGGAGTGTCCCGGGGGTTAGGGTGTTCTTGACATAAAATGAAACACCCAGCGCATTATTAACAACCAAGAAAACTTTTCCATGTAGGCAAACCAGCCAGTAAACAGCTTGTTATTTCACCAGCCTTTGAGTTGGTAAATCAGACCATCAGTCAGTCAACCTGGCCACACTAAATGAGTATTGTAGATGTGGAGCATCTGCATTAAATATCAGTGCAAGACATTAATAAAAGTCATCATGAATTTAGGCAAAAATCCACCTGCACAAATTCATAATGGTTCAACTTGAGCAAAAAACACTTTTCCTAAAGCTTTATGATTCCAGTTTATAAATAAGACAAAAGAAGTGAAGAAAGTCTGAAAGAAAAACTAAATCAGAAATAAGTAATAATAAATTTCTGGTTTCTAAAGACGCTGTTTACAAATTTCACAGCTTTTGTGCAAGTTGCAGGTAAAGTCTGTGCAAATAAAGGGCAAATAAAGACAGACAGTCCAGCTGTCAAAATTTGTGTTCTGTCTAAATAAACCTTTTGTCTGTCCAGCCTTTAAAAGAGGAACGCTGCTTGACAAAGTTAGACATATTACACACACACACACACACACACACACACACACACACACACAGAGTTATTCGTAGGAAGTTGACACCAGCAGAAGGTGATTCAGAGGGTGCCTAACCACTCATTAATTACCACCACACAAACACGACCACTGTTACCAACCACCTCTTGTTTCCCTCAATGTGTCACATTGAAACACACACACACACACACACACACACACACACACACACATGCTGCCACACAGTCTGCATGTTGTTTATACTGGACATTGAACAGCTCTAGAAGGAGTCACGCTGATGTTAATTGATGGTGATTCCAGCAACCCTGGTCACTTATGATAATCAGGAAGTCTCTGACTGCTCATTCATATTTTGTAATTTTATATCTAATATTTGTAAATAAAACCTGCCCGAGGATTTTTAATTTACTTTTAGTTGAATGAATGAATGAATGTGTCTATACATTTAAATCAAAATTTTACTCCTTCTCTACTGTCTTCATCCCTCTTTTCCTGTGTGTTTTTAATCTCCTCCTCGTCTCCCAGTCCACACCATGAGCGCCTGTATATTACACCAACCTCACAGCGACACATTCACTTTTAATAAAGTTTATTTATTCTCAGCACTTTAAACCAAACATGATATGTCATCCTAACTAAACACAACACCACTCCCTCTGGGCCTGTTAATGGTTTCTAAACTGTTCTGAATTACAGCCAACACCACTGTGTGTGTGTGTTTTTGTGTGTGTGTGTGTGTGTGTGTGTGTGTGTGTGTGTGTGTGTGTGTGTGTGTGTGTGTGTGTGTGTGTGTGTGATTGTGTGATGTTGTGTGCTGTGTGTTGTGTGTTTTGTGTGTGTGTTGTGTGTGTGTGTGTGTGTGTGTTTTGTGTGTTGTGTGTGTGTGTGTGTGTGTTGTTTGTGTGTGTGTGTGTGTGTTTTGTGGGTGTGTGTGTGTGTGTGGGTGTGATGTGTGTGTGGTGAGTGAGTGTGAGTGTGAGAGACACCATAGAGTATTTTGTATGTGTGTGTAGACTGTACATGCTTGTTCATCCACAGTTTGTGTGTGTGTATACATCAGTTCATGTGTACTTACATGTGCCCCACATGCAGCGGGGCAGGGCAGACAGCTGGTTGTTTCCAGCACTAACAGCCTGTTTTAAGGGGCTGTTTGGGTTAGAGACGGGCAGATGGAAAACCCTCACAGACATCCACTCTTACTGAGGCTATTTATAGAGTGGCAGGCCATCCACACTGCAGGGAGCGTGGAGAACAGGCCGACTGACTGACCCACTCTGTCGCTGCTCGGCTGGCGTTGTTCGTCTGTCAATGCAAATAGGGCTTATACCTGATAAAATGAGTGAGCACTAAAACACACCATTCTGCTACCTGTCAGGATTTCGTTCTAATAAGACAGTTTGATGGACTGAGGAGTCGACTGGTCAGCTGACTGACCTTTTTTGTCTCATTGCACTGAGAATACTTATTATGCTGTTCACTGTCACACACACCAAACCACTCTGCCAACTCTGTCTCCTAGAAATTACATTTATATAGAACTAATTTGCAACAGCAAATACGTTTTGTAGGAAGCATAATTGCGACCAGATTAGGTTTCCTATTATCATAATGAGGAAATGTTGTTAATTTACGTATTTGACAAGTTGCAAATATGTGGATGCTGAACAAACAACAGACAACAGATTTGCCTCTTTTTGTGACTCCAGCATCATTAAACTGTTAAATGGTTCTGTTTAGACTCTCAAAGCACTTGGTAAAGATTAGTGAAAAATCCTGGTCTGGTTTAATACAGAAAAATGTAATGCTGGCTAAACCACAGACAGGACCATGGACGTGAGGCCCGGTCTCTGGTGTGACAGTTGTGCACATGCCACCCCAACCACCTCCTGGTGCCTCTGAATATGTGCCAGTGACTATGTTGCCACTACAACATAACTGGGAAAACAGTGTAGTAATATATGAATATCATCTGTAGATGCTGCCGCATCTGCTCACACATAGTTTAAATTAAGTATTTCACCTGAAAGCAAAAGTGAGAGTTTTATTCATGCATGTCTCGTAGGCATCCAGCGGCTCGCCTAGAACAAAGAAAAATAAATCTTGCACAATATACACACTTAAAAGAAACATAAATTATGCAGGGAAATAAATGAAATAATGTGATGCAAAAAGCCTCATACAGTATGCAACGCATGATAAATATATAAAAGAACACAGCGTTTTACTGGATACATAGACCACCAGTCTAGCTGCTGTCCCACCCACAATTGCTTTGAGCCCTGCTGCGTGAACAGCATAGAAGATGAAAGTACGTCTGTGAGTTTGTCTGTGGGTCCATTTTATTGTAAAGTTGCTCTTTTTTTAATCTCTGCAATACTTTGTAGGAACAGCACGACCCTCACCTGCGACAGCTGTATTGATTAGATAAAGAAAATCACCTTTTAAATAACAGAGAACGGGATAAAGGCTCGGGAGGCTGTAAGTCACAGAAATCAGGGTGGATTTAGACCTCCAGTCTCTTTGATATGCATATGCTTCACCAATTTGCAGAATGAATCTACTTTAATCTCTCTCTTTCTCTCTGTGGTTTTACCTTCTCCGGCTTTTGTGTGTTAGAGAAGAGTTCTTCTCTTTCACTACTCAGCATCTCCCCCTGTCTTCATCCTTCCACTCCAGGGAGAGGGAAGATGGATGTTTCCTCTTCTTCCTCTATTTCTTTGTTGTTGTCGTCTCCTATTGTTTTGTGAGTTATTGAATCAATGTTTGATTTCAAATACTTTTTTTTCTCTATTCTCCTTACTCATAGTGTAAGTCAAACTTAGAACCTGTCTGTCCTTTCCTGTCTGCCTCTGTTTGTCTTTGATCGCTATTTCAACTTTAATGAAGTTAATGTTCCCTTCAGGGGCTTAAAAGTTTCAAAGAGGTATATGTATATGTGCTTCCAAAACAGGCAAGCCTTTCCACAAGATTTTTTAACTTGGCTTCGAGGATTTACTCTCTGGCTCTCTTCAGACCTGTCATTAACATATGTCTCCACATGCATCTCCAGTGACCAGTTGTGATCAGATCTCACTTCCCTGCAAACACTATTGGTTTTTAGCCAGTCCGACTGTGACAGATGGGTCCATTGTCAGTGTGTTTGTGAGAGAGAGAGAGAGAGAGAGAGAGAGAGCAGGACAAGGGGGGGGGGAGCGAATCATTGAAATAAGTAAAGTATTTTCGGTTCATTATGAAACTGTGTATCAATTGTGATTCCATCATCAGCTTAGATCAGAAATAAACAGGTAAAAAGAAAAAAAATACTCTTCCAAGTCTTAAGAGTTGGTGAGCAGTGAGTAGTTACTGCCGACCTGAGCTGTTGTCTGTATTCATCATCATAAAAAAACACACTCAACAATCTGCAAATACATAATGTGAGAAATGTTCCAATTAACAGTTATGCCAATTTAGTTATTCCATTAATTATTTAGCAAGTATGATCCGTTACTATTCATTAATAATTATCTTAAATGACTAAAATGTTTTGCTTTCCCTTTACAGAATGTCACTGTTCATATTAAAACAATTTCATGGAAAATACAACTGCTGTTATTGCTTTAAATTAAAGTGTAAAACTAAATCTTTCATGTATTCAAATAATATTTTCTGGAGTGAAGTCTTGTCTTGAACGAAACTGTCAAAAAGGCAGCGATTCATATTACATCTGCTCCAACTGCATCCTGTTTAATTACCTTAATATGCATCTTAATGATCATTCATTATTGATTCATTGATCAGACGACCACAAAAGAATGAATGCTGATACTTTTTAATCTGAACTGCATTTCTGTCGGTTTGTTCCAGAATAATTCAATCTTTCCCCTTCTTCCCTTCACCAGGAAAATCAAGACCAATTACTTCATCGTGTCTCTGGCGTTTGCTGACTTGCTCGTATCGGTGCTGGTGATGCCGTTCGGTGCCATCGAGCTGGTCCACCAGCACTGGATCTACGGCGAGACTTTCTGTCTGGTCCGTACGTCGCTGGACGTCCTGCTGACCACAGCGTCCATCCTGCACCTGTGCTGCATCGCCCTGGACAGGTGAGATATTTTGGTAGTATGCGTGCATTCATGTTGGGTTGATTTGTCGTGACAGCGTACGCTTATTCTCCAGTTTCCTTGCTGGAGGGTCGCACTTTGTGGTCTGTCAGTTTTAATGCTCAGGTTTCCGAACTCACACCCCATCTGAAAAACCCCATCTCTTTTTCATTGCACTGCAAAGGTGAGGGGCTTGGATTTATGTAGGCAATATATACTATTGTGTGTGTGTGTGTGTGTGTGTGTGTGTGTCTGTGTTGTTTAGTGCAAACAACAACACAGCGAGTGTAAATCTGTAAAGATTTCTTCTATTCACTGTAGGTTTCGCAGGTATTTCCAAAGCTCTTTATAATCTAGGTCAAGATAATCACACCACTACACTCACTTGAAGCGCTGTTTATCTGCAGCGTTACATCAGACTGATGTGAGGCCTTGACATACATGGAAACTCTTTTTACGTATGTGATACAGTGATGGGTTAGGGAAGTGATGTAGAGATTGAGTCAGAATGAATGTGCAGTTGGGTTGATGAGTTATTTCAGGTTAAAGGTCAGAGCATACAGTGCATAAAGGCTGATGTTGTCAGTAAATGTATTTCCCCACTTCCTCAGGTGGTCTTGTCTCAGGTCTTGTCTGGTGTCCAGTTTCGTTTTTTTTTTTTTTTTTTTTTTTTTGGAAGTTTTCAGATGAAGAACCGAACGAAACCTATTAAAACTTCTCCCCCTGAACACACTCCTGAAAAAGATTCATTAGTAGATCACTTACTGTAGAAAATGAGCAGCCTCACCTCTCTCCCCATCATATAAAGCTAGTCCATTCATCTGTTCATTTTGACAGCTTTGATATTAACTCCGGGGAGAGGACTTCCAGACTGATAGCACAGATGTGTGAGGATAGAGACTGGATTAATTCTTTTTACTGCCTCTGCAGTCAAACTGATGGAATTCAATTAGAAAAAAAAAATGCACCCGACAAATTTCAGCACAGCAGCAGATATAAACATAACAGACGATTCAAACAGCAAGAGTGGAAAAGTTTCTATTCAGGATCCACAGAGTACACGCACATAGCCTACTGTTCATACATCACCATGTACCATGATGGTGTCAATTAAAATCTTGCAACAGACAGTACATATGAGTGGACAGCTGTGATACAGGTGTTTGTTTTCAGCTCTAAATTATCCACTAGCTTGCAAGAGTGTAAGAAACTAGTGTGTGCGTGCGTGCGTGCGTGCGTGCGTGCGTGCGTGCGTGCGTGCGTGCGTGCGGGCGTGCGTGTGTGTGATAGAGAGATAGAGATAATTAGCAGTTGGTTGTTAATTACATCTTATATCTGAGATGCAGCACTATTTTGTGCTTGTGAGACGTGTCAGCTGTTTGGGGTTTGGCGAGGCTTCATATTACCCAGTAATGAAAACACTGCTCATTCTTTGGTCCAGAAACTCTAGTGTGTTTATGATAACAAAGAGGGTTTGTTGTAGGAGTTCCAGAAATACGGTTACAGCTGACACAGAGGCAGTGAAGCTTTGGAAGTCATGATAGTCTGATTGGGTATCCACCTTACATAATAATCAGATTAAAGTCTATTTACTGAGTATTTTTACAGTGTTCAGAAATAGAAACAGAACATATCCAGTCTAACCAAGTATCTACCCAACTCACCCGCTTACCCAATCACCCACCACTAGGACTGAGCGGATCGATCCCAAAATATCGATACTACAGATACTTCGTCTTGTTTTTGAAGATCGATTCTAGCGTGAATAGGATTGATAGTTTCAGTTTCTCTCTTCTATGTTGGACTCATTTCAGAGTAGAACTGTCTGCAAACAATGTTCCATTGTCATGAACACATAAGTGCACCTGGTCTTTGCTTCTCCACAGCTGCTGTAATGTCGTGTAGACTCATATACAAACATAACAAAAGTTAGTAATTGCTGATGACTACCAAAGAGGAGAAACGCAAATATTACAGGGTTACACTCTCTGCTTCCATTCTTTCTACAAATGTCAGCTGCCAAATTATATAGAATGTCAGAGCAGACCTTTGGAGAGAGTATCTTATGTCTTCTAGCTTGAGATATTGTATAACCTCTTTGATCCAATGAGAATACACGAAAGTTGAGAATTTGACAGGAAGTGCTGTTTCCTGTCCAGCGTCACCCGGCTGTGACTCAGGCCTGACTCCCTTTTGTCCCAAAGCTAGCCTGATTGCTGCTAATGGGAGCTCATTCTCAGCCCAGATCAGCTGTCAGGGTGCAGTCATAGGGACTAGGGTTGTTCAAGCTTAAAGTATGAAGCAGATATTCTGTTATGTAAAGATTTTGCCAACAGATGTAAAAAGTTTTTCTCTCCTGATAATGTATAGGATCTGTCTGTTAAAAAACTGAGTTGTCGGAGAACTTCCTGTGATTATTTTTCCTCTCTTCACACTGTTGGTATCTGCTGTGTGTCGAGGGCGAGGGTTGCAGCCTGTGATGACATGAATAAAATCAGACCAGACAGGGCAAATCTTATCACTCAGACAGCCGGATTAAACTTCACCTTGACTCGACAATGCACAAACAGGTGTGAGCAAAAGACACAGTCTTATCACCAGTTTCTTCACTTCTCAAGCTGATTTGTGTTCACTGAGATTTCAAACATGCTGCAGTATTGTAAGCTGAAGGTGGTAAATAATCCTCAAGGACCTGTTTGTATTAGAAGTTTCTGAAAGTCTGACTTATGAAAAAAATATTTTGGCTGTTAAGGATGTCAACGCTGGCTGTAACTTTTAAGGTAACATTAGTAGTTACTGGCACCATCTTAGCTGTATGCTGGGATAATATTGTGCTGTACTCCTGTGATTTTTATATTTTACTAATGATGTGTTCACAATGAGAATACAGGAAACTTGAGTGCAGGGAGGACCTCTACGAAACTCTCACACGAACTGTGTAGAGTAATAATGCAGGCTGATGCTAATGGCCGTGACCATCAGATATCTATTCTGTTGAAGCGAGCTCCAGTATGAACATGTGTTTTTAATGTAGGTACTCACAAGAGAGAGTTTTCCCAATTAGACAAACCAAAGATGCAAAGCTCAGCAACAGTGACGGAGGAAATGGTCTCCTCATTCAATTATCTGGCTGGAGGAGGTTTGCACTCTTCTATACATAAATCTGCCCCTGCATCCTGGAACAACACAACTTCCATTACCAATTCATAATGAGGTAATCGCCCTCCATTACCTCCCCTCCCCTCCTGTTCCCAGTGAATCATATCACTCCATAGACTCCAATGTTCTCCCTCACTTACCTTAATTGCCTGCTTCTTCTGTTGTTGTTGATGCTCCTTTCAACAACAAGTCTATTGCTGATGCCACTACCTCTTCCTTTAACTGCTGGTAATGATACTGATAAAGAAAACTATGTAAACTCAAGCTTTGTGCTTTTGCTTTGTTCTCTCACTGTATCTTTTTATTCCATAAAAAAGCTCCTAACAGAATTTCCAATATTGGATATTTTTTCACAGTCTGACCCACAGCCAAGTCTGACACTCATTTCACTGATTTGATTACTGCACACTATGTTGTACCTTAGCTATATGATATTATAAAAGCTGTTTGGAGAGATTGCAAATTTCCACTGAAATGAAGTTTCTGAATCAGTTTAATATTGTGAGTCATGCTCACCCTCAGTAAATGTTTGGAAAGTTCAGAGAAACTAAAACCACATTTAACCGATTGGTCTGGTTCAGTTTAGGCTAATATTAGACCCAGTATTTCATAATATCCAATTTCTCAAGATTTCCTGCCATATGTGATGCTTTTCATAATATCGGAATATATATATATATATATATACATATGCACAGTTTATATAGTCTGATCTGCTGCTAAGTCTTAAAAAAAATAAAAACTGAACTGCTGTTTAGTGGCAGCATCGCTTATACCTGAAACATACTGTAAAATACACTGATATAGTTATATTATAAACCCTTACCCAGCTCCATCCCCTTATGACGGGCTGGACTGTATCGAGATATTAAATTTAAATTTTGGCTATCGCCCAAACCTATATCCAATGTATCTTAACGATCAGTCGAGCACTGTATCATCCGTCTGACTTGTTGATTGTCCCCTTTACGTTCAGTTTCAGCTCACGTTTATTCACTGCCATCTTACGTTGTACCTTATTTTGTTTTTCTTTGTTTTCTTTTATTTCCTGTTCTATTATCTTATTAACTAGCATATTATTATTTTATATCCCAATTTTATTGAAAAACACTTTAAAAAATAGCAATTACAACATTTAATTAATTACTAAAATGATCTACTGAGCAAACCAGAGCCAAGTAGTAGGTCTCAACATCTTGAAAAACCTTTTTCAAAAATGTTTTATTTTCTAAAATAAAATAGACAAAAATTAACACAATGGGGATTCATCAATAAAACATAATATAACGTAGCTCAATTAAAGTGTCTTTTATTGTTCAATGTTTCTTTCCTCATGTATTAAGAAATAATTATTTACACACACACACACACACACATACTACACACTTCAGCTTATTCACAGACGTGGAATAATGAAAGTTGCTAATTCCTAATTATAATGGTCAAGTAACATGCTAATTAATGAAAAGGGCCCTTAAGATATAATAAAATGTCATTATTAGGAGCACCATGGTAGTTAAGAAGGCCAACAGCATCTGTATCATTGACTCTGCGTTTTGCTTTCATGTGTTGAGTAGCTTGTAATATGCGAGCTGTAATTACTGGTTGTCAGGCCATTTGAGAATCCCATCATGTCTGTGGTTGTATAAGGACAACAGGCAGACAGACAGGCAGGCAGACAGACAGACAGGCAGACAGACAGACAGACAGACAGACAGACAGACAGACAGACAGACAGACAGACAGACAGACAGACAGACAGGCAGACAGACAGACAGCTTGAACGTTTTTCTCTTTGTAAAACTGCAGGACGAGACCAAGAATTAATGGAACTGTTAGTTAGT